TCTTACTAGAACATTGGACCAGATGTCCCCTACAGTCCTTTGTAGTACTGGCTTTCTCTGGCGCTCTGCTGGCAAAGGACCTTAGCAGGTTATCTGCCCCATTTATTCCACCTGCTGACATCAATACTTCCACTTTGATATTGTCACTTCTGGTTGTGACATTCACAGGCAACAGCACCCAGGTATAATTGATAAACATTCTGCAGAATTACACAGGCTGGGAACACGGGGTCACCCAGCTCCATCTGACTCCTGAGGCGGGGTGGGTGTAAGGCAGGACTGAAAGGTGAGTTGCAGGGCCCTCTGAGCCCTACAAGGCCCAAGGGGATCATATGATCTCTCTGGGTAGATTCGGGATGACATGGTGCTGCATCTTAGAGTTTACCTGGGAGTCTGCACCTGATTGGAAGGCATGAACAAGACCTTTGTAGGGCAGACTCTGGTGTCTCATAGCCAGTATGATGTCACTTCCTGCCTATGGATCGTGCAGTTGTCCACATCCCAGTACTAACCCACAGAGCCTCCCACCTTGAGAGCTCCGAGGTGACCGCATGGCTTAAACTAATATTGAGCCCACACCACATCACTTTGGGGAAGTGCTGCCAGCTGGCCTCGGACAGGCCTCTGAGGCCCAGAGCTGTGTTCCAGCTGGCCTGCGTGCTGTTCACACCCAGGGCTGGTCACAGGGCCTCACAGCTGTTTCAGACTCTGGCCTCCTCAGCAGTGGAGGGAGAGGGCCCTTGTGTTCCTAAGCTCAGTCTTGAGACCTGGCCTGCCCCCCTGGTCTCCTAGCTCCCTAGGCTTTGTTAGGGACAACCCTTCTTCTAGGGGGCATTTCATCATCTTTGGTGAATTAATATTAAGAATTAATAATCATAACTGGCTGCAGCCATACTTGTTATAGGCTTCAAAAAGACCAAGGTTGTTATTAGAGGAAAGAATGCTCACAACACCTTGGGCAGGTGGACCAGGAGCATGCATGTGGCCATGAGAGGGGAGGATGCTTTCATCTGGACTGAGGGAGGATGCTTTCCTGGACTGCTAGTCTTGAGCAGGTGAATTGACCCCTCCCCCTCCCTGAAAGCTTCCTAGAGCCTGGGACAGGAAGAAATGGGGTCGTATTTGTTCCCATCATCTTCACCATTTCTATCCTTGGTGTTTCATCAGGTAACTGTGGTATTCTTTCATGACAGCTGTTCTGGGCTGCACAATGATTATCATGAAGCTTCGGATGTGTGCTTGGTCTTGGCAAGACCACACTGGGCGTGCTTCGTGGTGCATTTGAGGAGACTATGGGATAAGAAAGGGTTTGTGATGAGTGGACATGTGAAAATGGTACTGACCTGCAGTGGCTTATGACCTTCCAGAGGACTGTGTGGTGCAAGAGCAGATGCAAAATGAATACAGTCGGGTGATTGGTGCAAGAAACATCCATCCGGGGGGCTCTGCCAAAGAAACCAGTGGCCCTGACTTATTCCCAGATTCTACTGGATAATACTATGGTGTAATTAAATCATTAATTTAAAAATATGGCTCTCTAGGTCAGAAAGCACATGGGACTAATTTATATCCTGAGTTCCGGTTCTGGCTTTGCCATGCCACCCAACAGCACTGAAATCTGGGGCAGACTGAGTGGCCCCTTGGAGCCTATGAGGATTAGTAGAGTCTGAGTGGGTCCAGGGCCAGCCCTTTTCCATGGGGCAAGAGGAAAGGGCTATCTACCCTCTGCTGTAGGAACTTTTCCTCTAGTTCATCCCACCTGCACATCCCATCCTCTGTATATTCCCTACTCCTACGCACTTGGTCTTGGACCCTCATGCTCTGTGGTCAAATCTAGCTCTGCCACTTGACCACTTCTGTAAGCATGAGCAGATGCCTTAAGCTCTATGCCTCTATTTTCTCATCTGGAAAATGGGGGTGACATTAATTCCCACCTCACAAGGTTAATTGGAATAAGCATAAAGGATTTAGTGCAGTGGCTAATGGACTGATAAGTATAGACTAGGTGCTCAGTAAATGTTCGGATTTGGGGTGCTGTGCCCCTGTTTAAGCTCCCAATATCTTCTTCCTCTTGCCCCACCTCCAGGCCTGTTCTGATGCTGAGATACACAGTCTTCAGTTTGAGCCTCTTAGAACTGGTAAGGGCTTTGAAGCTGCTTGGTGCCAGGATCCCCTCTTGGACCCGGATTTGGGAGCCTCATGGGAGCAGACTGGCAACCTTGCAGGTGACTGAAACCTGCAAGGAGCCCCAGCCTTCTCCCCGTCCCTGGCATTTCCCCGACACCCAGCTTCAACACTGGTCAGGGCTCTATTTCCTGTGGTTCCTGCTCGGGAGTCCTTGTCCTTTGCGCTCTGTGGAGGTGGTCTCAGGCCCACAGACCCAGGGCTGAGAGCTTCAGGGTGGGGAGCTCTGGGCCAGCTTGCCGCATTCTCCTCCTTTGAACTTCACAGCCGCTTCCCGCCCACCCCTTGTGCTCCCACCTAGCACTGCGGAAAACCAGCTCCGGAAAGAGTGGGAAGAGAGAACTGCTCTGAATGAAACCCCAGTGAGGCATAGCAGAGAACTTGGGGACTGGAGGGGACATGGTCTACTCCTCCTCCACTTTATAGGGGAGAAAACGGAAGCCCAGAGGACTGAATCGACCTGGCCTTGGTCACACGGTACGACCGTGGCACAGAGCTGGAGCCCTGGGCTGGCCGTGCCAGCTCCGGCTGCTCTGCCTCTGCTGCTCCCGACTCATTCATTCAGTGAGTCAAGGAGTGGATTATTTTGGAATCTCCTGGAATCTCTTCATCTCCTCTCTAGGAGCTTACAGTCTAGTCATGAGAGTCAGGCCGGGAGAGAATCCCAACGAAGAGGGCTAGAAAGCTCTGAGTGGAGGTGGCCAGGCCAACAGGGGCACAGTGCAAGGGCAATCAGAGGGCTTTGTGGAGCAGGAGACGCTCAAGTGTCCTTGTGGGTGACAAGGAGTTTGCTGGGCTGCAGTAGAATGAGGGCTCTTGGGGAAATCATGGGCTCCATCGGCACAGAGTCTCATTCACATGCCACAGTTTCACTGTGACCTCCGACCCCACCCAGGGCACTGTCAGATTTGGGGTGCTGTGCCTCTGGTTAAGCTTCAGTCCAGCAGCCAGGACCTTTGCAGAATGCAGAAATGATATATTTGCTGTAAACTTGCTTGTTCTTTTTTTTAATATTTTTTTTATTTTTTAGAGAGAGGAAGAGAGAGAGAGAGAGAGAGAATTTTAATATTTATTTTTTTTTTAGTTTTCGGCAGACACAACATCTTTGTTTGTATGTGGTGCTGAGGATCGAACCCGGGCCGCACGCATGCCAGGCGAGCGCGCTACCGCTTGAGCCATATCCCCAGCCCCAACTTGCTTATTCTTGTTTTAAAGCAGGTGTTTAAAATAATTTTTTTTCTACTGATGGAAATAGCACTTTCTCTGTGCCCCAGTTTGTATCCCTAAACACTTGAACTCATGATACAGAAACCGCCTTGGCCCTGATCCAGTAGTTGGTGTCCACTCCAGCACCAGTGACTTCCTGATGGGACCCTCCCTAGCTTCCAGGGGTTGGCTGGGGCGAGCCCAGTGCAAGTCACAGAAAGGTGCCTCCTACCTAGGGCAGGAAGTCCATCTAGTGGCCCTGTTTCCATCTTCTTCCATCTAATCCTCAATCCTCCCTCCAGCCTTGTGGCCTCTCTGACCCATTCAACGGCTTTTGGTACCAAAGTCAGTTTCAGGGTGTAACAGGCTGGCAGAAGTTCTCAAAGATTCTTTCCAAACTACAGAGAACGTATTCAAGTATTGGCTTTAGGCAACTCTAATTGTCAATCACAGAGGAAAAAACATGGCCATTGTAAAAAATCAAAAGTATTGTACAAATAGGCAAAAGAAGAAGAAAATCTTCTATAATTCTATCACCCAAATATGGTAATCGGCGATTTTTATTCAATATTTACTCAATGTCAGGTATCATGCTCAAGAAACTGCCTGTCATCTTTCTATCATGTATGGTCTATCTTCCTGACATCTATCATAGTATCCACTTATTTCCATGGCAACCCATGAGGAAGGTATTTTTACTATGCCCATTTCACAGAGGGAATTACCTAAAGATAAGTTAGTTTCTGGGTCAGAATGGGGCCAGGAGTAAATCCAGAGACTTGAACTCAGTCTCTGTGGAAGATTGCTTTTGAGACACCCTTGCTAACATGTTGGTGAATTTCCTGTCTGGTTTTTTGTTTTGTTTGATGCATGAATGTATTAAATAGTATATATTGCTTAACAATGGTATTATATTATACTCAGTTTTGTAACCATCTTTTTCACTTAATACTATAGTATAACAATGAATAATCTTCTAACCATTATTTTAAATGGCTGTATAGTAGTCCATAAATGAAAGAATATCATAGTTTCCATATTTTTGGAAATTTTTAGGTTGTTCCCAATTTGGGGTTATTATTAACAATGCTATGATAGACATCCTTAAAGGTAATTTATGAGAATAATTACTCTCACCATAAAGGAGTTGCTATGCACAGGACTGCATGATTGGTTCAAAGGTTTTGCAGAATGTTAAATCTTTGACACATGGGACTCACCTGCCCTGCAGAAAGGCTGAGTGAAGTTCCAGTGCTTCCAGCTGCGGGAGAGTAGAACTGGTTCTCCAGAGATAGGAGAGGATCAGGTGAGCACTGAGGCGGAGTCTGAGAAGGGAGTGAGCCCGGGATGTGGAGGTGGGTGGGAAAGGTCTTCTAAGAGCCATGGTGTTGGGGCAAAGGAAGACAAGTGACTGAAGATGAGTGACAGGTCTGGAAAGAGCTCTGCAGGGCTTGGGTGATTTAGATTCAGGGATGAGCAAGGTGGGCTAAGAAGACTGGAAGCTTCTCTACGCCCATGCCACGTTTCCACACCTGAGAGCATCAGGCTAACATTGAAAAGTTTTTTTTTTTTAACCCCCAAGGGAAATATTCTGTGTGTGATCAAAGAAGTAGAGTGATTTTTTTAATTGTTGACAACTGATGTTCTAATGCCATTGTCGACCAGGCTCAGCTGAGGTCAATCCAGGGCCTCATGTTTTCGGGCCCATGTTAAGTGTCAAATGAGCACTTCAGATATTGGGAATTTGGGAGCAGGCCACTATGGGCTTGGGAGGTGGGTACTTCTAAGAGAGCCTGGGGTGTGAGCTGGGCCTGGCTGGTGGGTGCGATGACAGGGAAGAGAGAGCCCTCGTGTTCACACCTCTTCAGTCCAAATCTGGGCTTCACTGTTTCCAACTGTGAACTTGGTTGAGTTCTTGACCTTCTGCTTCCTTTGCTTCATCAGTCCAATCGTGACAATAGTAGCAAGAGGGTCCATTCTTGGCAGGTTTAAATGAGGTGAGAGATGTGACTGGCCCCTTTGGGTCCTCAGTAAGTGTAAGAAGCTCTTTTTATTTTAGTACATGGGTGTGTCTGCAAGGACAGCAAGATCAGGGGCATTCTAGGGAAAGCAGAAAAGTCCTGTCCTATTTTCTAGACCATGAGAGGCTGAGAGAGGAGGAGAGGCCAAGTGAGAGTGGGGGAAGCTGAGAAAGAGGCCTGGGATTTTGCCGGGGGTAATCTTGCATATGGGCCCAGGAGTTGGGAGTGTGTCCCATGGGCTATGAGGAGCTTGGAAAGGTGATAATTGGAGGTGGGTTTCACCTACTGGTATTGGACACACTGAGGCACTAGGAACTCTGGGCCTGAGGCAGGAGGAGGAGACCTTTGGGGGGCAGCATGTGGGAGGGAGACTTAAGTTCCTGGGCCTGGGAGGGATTCCCTGGTCAGTGGTCATGAGCCAGCCCTGCCCTATCTGCCCATCCTGGGTTCCCCTGGCCCCTGTGCAGGCTTGAGGAGGGATGGGCTCCCCTGGCTGGGAGAGAACATTCCTCCTCACCCCCCCCAACCCAGGGCAGTCCCGCCGAGCTGCTCTCCCTCTCCATTTTCATCTCCACCTACGTACCGCCTGTGAGATCTCACTTCCAGCGCCTGGGCTCTCAGTAAGCGGAAGTGAGGGGTGTGGGGTGTGAGCCGGAGCAGATTCACTTGCGGGTGGGGTGGAATCAAGGCTGATCGGCCTCCTTCCCAGCCCTCCTCACCTGCCAAAATGACTAAGGCCACGTTCCATGCTCCTGGGATGCGGGGATAGGGGAAGGGAAGGGAAAGAACAGCATCCGTCCATTCATTCATGAGCCTCTGCCTCCTGAAAGAGTCCGGACCACGTGAGCATCGTGAGCATCGCAGAGGCTCAAGTCACACTGGGTGTGGGACGGTCCATTCCCCAGGGGACAGGCTTAGCCGTGGCCACGTGCTTGACTTGTGTCATTGGGCTCAGCCAGGCTCAGCTGTGCAAGTGGCACAGGATTTGGGGGGCCAACCCGCTCATCCCTGTGCCTCCCCCCACCTCCCCGGGCAGCTCTCTGATGCATCCGTCGCTGCTGTGCGCTGACTGTTCCAGACAGAGCGTAGGGGAGGCTGTGGGGGCGGTTGGCGCACCCGGCGCAGGCAGGCAGGCAGCTGGGGCCTGCCGGTGCCTGCCTTTTCTGGAAGCCCACGCAGGCAGCTTCCGCTGGCCTTCAGGGACACATTTCCTGTTTGAAGGGTGCAGCCTTGTGCCTCCACCATGGGGCCTGCAGTGGGAAGGTAGGGCTGACTGTGTAGTCACCAAGAAGGTAACAAAGGACATTAGACAGTTCATTGCTGTGGCCTTGGGGCAGGAAACCTGTCTTAGGCTGCAACTAATTCCACCAGCACAGGACCCCAGCTCAGTTCTGTGTGGCTTCCCAAGGCACTGGGTGACTAGCCAAACCCCAGCTCTGTACTCTCATATATTGTTCTGAGCCATGCTTCCTTAGTTTGGCCCCTCTGAGCTCACAGTGACCTTTAGTGGCAGGAGGCCACTGCCTGAGAGGTAGGGTTGCTGGGCTCAGATGTAAAGGTCAGGCACTGCACCAGTGCAGCTATATAAGGAGACATTCTGTAAAGGGAAGGTTGTAGATGTCTGTATTTGTTATGATTATCCAACAGATGGCAGTAAAGTGTCTTGAGGAAGGGATTTTTTTTTTTTTAATACTGGGATTGAACCCAGGGGTGCTTTACCACTACACTTTTAATTTTTTTATTTTTATTTTTGGGAGAGGGTCTTGTTAAGTTGCTTAGGGTCTCACTACTTGCAATCCTCCTGCCTCAGCCTCCCAAATTGCTGGGATTATAGATGTGCACCACCTCACCCAGCCGGGATTCTCTTTTCTAATTTGCAGGAAGCTCCTGTAAGAGTTAACCGCAGTCTGCCATAAAGGCCAGAGAGAAATCAGTTCTAAGGAAATGTAACAACAGACAACACACAACATGGGTAAATCACAGGCCAGCTCTTGTGTTGGCTCGAGGAAATTCCCCATCATTGGCCATGAGGCCATTTCTCCATGTTTGCTCACTCTTCTTGGAAGAGGAGTAAATGCCTTGCTAGCCCTCACCCAACGTGACCTTCACCTCTTTCCCTCTCTGCTCCTGGTCTCCAGCCGGCCATGTGCTAAAGGCATGATTCCTAAGGTGATGGGATTGGAGCTGTCATCTGTCTTAACCTTTGGGAAGCCCCAGACCAGGTCACCTTATTTATGAGACCCAGGGAACCTCCAGGTTTAGACTAGTCACACATTTGTGGGGGCAGGGAAATCTAGCCCTGTTTACTGACACAGGAGGTGCTTCACCTCAACAGGTCTGTTTAGCCAGCGCTTAGGTTGTGCTGTTACAGTCCTACAGCAGGCATCCGTTACCTCATGCCACGCAGATTTGTACCCATTCCAGGCCACAGAGAGCAGAGTCCTGTGGTCTTTGCCTAGAAACACACAGAACTGTTCCCAAGAGCACAAGGCATAGGGCAGCATGGGAAAACTAGAGCCCATGGGACAAACCCAGGATGCCACCTGGGCCAAATGGCCCACAAAGCTGAAAATATTTCCCATCCGGTAATTCACAGAAAAAGTCTGCTGCTCCCTGGCAGGGGGCACAGGAGGTCATGCGATATCCTCGGAAGTGCTTCCTCCTTCCTTGGCAGGAAGGACCTCTGGGAATTCACAACTATTCCCAGCTCCAGTCCAGGGCTCACTCTACCCAGAACTCGACAGACTCCTCTTTATAGTGGCAATTTGCCCAGGGCCCCAGGGCTAGAGATGCCAAGATGATGGGGGTCCTGGGCAGGCTCTGAAGGCTGTTTCTGAGCATTGGTCAGACTGCAGGGACAAGAGGACTCCAAGGGGACCAGGCACATGAAGCAGGAGGGGCTGGGAAGCACTTGTGGAAAGAGAAGCCAGTACTATGAATTATTCCAGAAGACAGAATTGAAATTTGTGGGTTGAATTATAAAGAGGGAAACTTTAGCTCTCCCAAACCCTTCCAGGCAACCTCAGGGTGGCTCACATTTCAAGCCACTAGCCTAGGAGTTCCCTGCTCTGGCCCCCCATGAAGGCTCTGGTTCCAGCTGCTGTCTCTGGGGATCTTCATGGTTAGGCAAGAAGGGTGGAGTCGGAGAGGGGCTGTTCCTCCAGGAGCCTTCACTTAGGAGCAAGGATTGGAGGATTCTGTCCTCTCCCATTGGTGGATTTTGCTAAGTTAGGACTGAGGAGAGAAAGAGAAGACGCTCTCTGTCTGCTTTAGGCTCCATGTTCTCACAGCCAAAGATCAATGTGCATAAGCTGTGCAGAGGGTGCTGGAGTTCCCTCCGGAATTGGTGCCACATCATCTCCCAGGGCTGGCCCTGTACTGCGGGCAGGGGTAGAGGTGGATGATGTTGCATTTCCTTCCCAAAGGCAGTGCTTTGCACTGAACAACTTTCCTTGGACTTGGGGTTTTAGGAAATTTGATTCAACTTGACATAGAGGACAGAGCAGAGCTGAAGAACACAGAGGATAAATACCTCTTGGGAGACAGAGTGGGGGTCAGGGAAGACTCTAGGAAGGAGTTGGACAGAGAGGCCAGGACAATGGGCCTCAATCTGAATAGCTCTGGTGTTTATGAGTTTCCCAGATTGGGCATTAGACATCTGATACAAAGAATTCTGCTACACAAAAAATGGAAAGCCACATAGGAAGGAAAAGAAGGAGGAAGGATTGTCTCAGCTCTTGGGATTATTGGCACTAAATAAAATCTGGAAGAGTCTTCTTCCTCTGACCACACCCTAAAGAAGACTCCAGATGGGGAGAGATAAATAGGATTCATCATGGTGCCAGGTTTACATTGACCTCTAGGTCCCCTTGAGGTAGTCTGGGGCTCACAGAGAATTTCTGTGCAGTGATTGGAACAAAGACACAAGAAGCAGATACAGGTCTTTGAAAAAAGGAACCCCTAAGCATGTATTTGTTGGCCATCATAGTGCTCCTGTGGATTAGTTATGGCCTTGGCAAACTACATATGAATTTAATTTTCATCTACAGAATCCAATTTCCCTAGTGAATTTCTACATGGTGGTACAGTGTGGGAAAAATATTGGAGAAGGCAAAGGAGATGCAGGGAACCCAGCTGGAGGCATTTCAACAGTTCAGGGGAGATATGCTGGTGGGTTGGTTGGCATCTTGGGTTTGGATAGACATCCCAAGGCAACATGTCAGTAGATAAAAACAGCAGGTTCCCACCAGCTCTGATTTATGTGCTGCATACAGTATAATAATGACCGTTTGGAACCAGTGTTGAATGATTTATTTCTTGCTCTGTTATTGACAATAACCATGACAATTTGTGCCTTGCTGGGGAGAAGGGTGAATGGTAGCTCAGAATCAAAGTATTAATGAGGAATTTATGTTATGGCTCTTAGAAGAACGGAGCCTCCATGCTCAACACTCTAGAGGACAGGCCTGTTTTTCTTAGGAGCTTAATGAGCTAAGGCTTCCTCTGTCTTCATTTCCAGGTAACAAATATGAAATCAAGGTGTACACTGGCGATGTAATTGGTGCAGGGACGGATGCTGATGTCTTCATCAATATCTTTGGAGAGTATGGAGACACAGGTAATGGGTTTGAATCCTTTTTCACAAGCCTTGCCCAGCACTGCCTCTTAGAGGGGTTATTTCCCACAACCCTGGCAGAGGAAGGCAGCTCCCTTTGGGCTCCTCTCTCGAATATCTCTTGTGATGTGGTTTGTCATGGCCTGTCTGGAGTGTCGGGCTGTCCATGCTGTGTTGTAAGATTTATGTTTTCAGAATAAAGAATGCCTGGTTTGGGGGTTGATTAAAATTGGTTTATATCCTAGACTAGGTGCAAACCCAATCTCTGCATCTCCAGGGATTACTGCCTCTCTTCAACTCCTTAAGCTCTGTGCCCATCCAAGCTATGCGTGGGGTTGTGGCTGGGTATGGTCTGATCCAGAGCAGTGAATTGGCTCATATTGGAATGGGGCCAGGGGACAGTTAGAATTGCCTTCACAGTTGAAGCAGGAAATGAGGACAAATACAGCTGCAGGTGCTGGTGAGAAGTTCAGGTCAAGAGAACTGAGACAGGTGGTTCTCTCCTGCTTCTGCCAATTTAGTGGTATAGGGGTCAGAGAAGCTACAGAGACGTGTGAATTTTGGATAAAATATATTAAAGAATTCAAAATGTATTGTTGAGCTTATAAGGGAATAAAAGAGAACTCACCAGGTGCCAGAAATGAAGAGGGAACTCAAATATTAACCATGAATTGATGTTATGACTCTTAGAAGGAGGGAGCTTCATGCCCAACAATCTAGAGCGTAGTTTTTTATACCCATTTGGGGGTCAGAAAAATGAGACCTTGGCCCTGCATGAGGCAAGAGATTTGAAATTAGAACTGCACATAAAGCCAGAAGCACTGAAAATTCATAGAAACATCTTCAGTGAAAAAATAGACCAGGAAAAAATTTACTCATCAGTAAACTTATCTCTGTAATATCACTAAAATTTTTAAAAAATTGTTGAGAAATTGATACCTTAGGTTTATATCACATGTGGGCTCAAGGTCTGATTTTATACTAAAAGTGTGATTTGGAAAGCTGCTTTCCCTAGAACATTGTTCCATGGCAGTAATAAATACCTTCAAGTACTTGATGTAAGCATTTGGGAGACTGCCCAAGATTCTCACAATAAAGTACTAGAGATGAGTTTATTTTCCCAAACTACAAAACACTCAGGGTCACAATAAGCATAAATCAACACAGCAAATAATAAGATTAAATCCTTAGAAATGTGGTACATAGACACAATGAAATATTAGCCATAAAGAAGAATGAAATTATGGTATTTGCAGGATGTGTGGAACTGGAGACTATCATGCCAAGTGAAATCAGTCAATCTCAAAGAACCAAAGGCCAAATGTTGTCTCTGATATGCAGATGCTGACTCACAATAGACAGCGGGGTGAGAGTGGAGATTCACTGGATTGGACCCGGAGGAATGGGGGGAAAAGAAGAGAGATGGACATGGGAAAGCCAGGAGTATGAATTGGACATTAGTTTTCTATGTTTGTATATGAACACATGACTAGTATAACTCCATGTCTCGTGCAACCACAAGAATGGGAAGTTATACTCCATGTATGTATGATATGTCAAAATATATTCTACTGTTACGTATAACTAAAAAAGAACAAATTTTAAAAATGAACATAATAAAAAAGATTAAATCCTTAGGCATTTCAGATAATGGAGAAATTCTGAGAAAGCCTTCATCTTAAATTGTTCAAACCTATTAAGTGCATGAAAAAGGTAATTGAGAAAATAAGACACTAAAAAACAGCAAATTTTGAGAAAGAATCAAACAGGAATACAGGAAATGAAAATATGGCTACTAAATATAGTTAAGCTTTTTTTTTTAACTCATTGGATGAGTTAAACAATACAATTAGAAATAGTTGAACAGAGAATTAGTAAACAGGAATACAGGAAATGAAAATATGATTGCTAAAGATAAATGTTTACTAGATGAGTTAAACGATACAACTAGAAATAGTTAAACAGAAAACTAGTGAACTCTAAGATAAATATGAGCAAAATATTCATATAGCAAAAAAGATTGAAAAATAGAATGAGAAGTCATGGGAATGAAGGAAAGAATGGAAAGGGCTAATTGATGTGGTGGGTGAATAGGAATTTAAAAAACAGAGAATATGCAGAACAGGTGAGGGAATATTCAAAGTGACAATGACAGACTTTTTAAAGATGGGACAAAGATATGAATCTTCAGATTAAAGAAGCAAAAGGAGTCATGGAACAGGTTACATAAAAACAAACCTACATTTAGATACCTTACGGTGAAACCAAAGGTACAAAGAAAAATCTTAGAAGGAAGCAGACTTGGCAGATTGCCTTCTGTGAAAACAATAGTTAAATTGATAGCAAATTCCTAGTAGCAAGAGGTATAAATCCATGTAATAATATCTTCAATGTTCTGAGCCAGAATATATGTCAGCCTATAATTCTACACCAGCGAGGTCATCATTCCAGAGTGAGGCGAAATGGACAAATTTCCACGCCAACAAAGAGAAATAGAATTTACCATTTCTAGATTGATACTTAAACCCCTGAAGGCAATACTTTAAGAAAAAGAAAATTGTATGCTGAACAAAGTGAGAGACAAGAACCAACTGTGAATAAAAAAAAATCCATGACTATGTAACAAATCTAAAGAGGCATTAACTACGTAAAACCTTGTCATAATGATGAACATAAGGGCAAGAGGGATCTCAAACACTTAAAATCAATAATATTTGAGAAGGAAAGTGGCTAGGGAGAATTAAAACAAAATGAGGTTTGGGGGCCATAGTCCATCTTCCCACCCCCAAAAGATTTTATAAAGGATTAATTGCACAAGCATGAATATTAAAATTGTAAAAGTGCCCACCCAAAATAGAAGTATACAATCTACACATCAATACAACAAATACAAAGGAATGAAGAATCAAACCAATAGAAAGAAATGAGGAAAGAGAAGCAAAAAACATGACTAATAGCAAAATTTAGATAAATGTATCAATAGAAAAAAAACTTAGAAAAACTTAGTTAAAACATAAATATTATCATATTATGTGAGAGGAGAAAAACCAATGAGCTTAAATAGATGATGCAGAATATTTGAGAAGAAATGAGTTGGAGTAAATAGGTTAATAGCAACAACAGGAAGGAAAGTGGCATGGCTATTCATATCTGTCGAAGGTAAACTACTTTGCTAGACAATGGTAAAAGGAAGAATGACAAAAAGAATAATACCATAGTTCTGAATTTGTTTAAATTTAACAGCAGTATTTCCAAAATATGTCAGCAGTAATTAATAGAATTCTTGGAGTAACTTGAAAAATACACAATGACGAGGGAGATTTTAATACAACATTCTCAACAATTGATAGGTCAAATGAATAAAAATTTAGTATGAGTGGAGAAGATCTTAGCTACACAATTTATAAGCTTGATCTAGTAGAAGTATGCAGATTTCTGCATCCAACTGGTAGAGAATACATTTTCTTTTCAAGCACGTAGTAACCACATACAAAACCACAAAGCTGTATGGATCCATCATATAGAGACAACATTCTTTGATCATAGGTGGTGAAATTAGAAGGAAAACTAAACTCTCAACAAAAACACATTTCCAGGTAGTTAATTGATCAAGGAAAAAACTGTAATGTGAAAAGTCTGATAGAATGTATATCATCAGCATCATCACCAAGAACAAAATTTATTGGATAGAACTAACAGAGACAGTACCGATAGCAGGTGTGAAAGCCTCAGGTATCCATCACATACTAGGGTTCCCACTACAGACCTTGGAGACAGACAATGATTCTGAGGCTGTGGGGTCTTTGTTCTGCATTAGCATCTTTCTTGGGCTTGGGGTCCAGGAGGAATATGGCATGGAGATTGTTGGCCTCTGATCCTCTTTGCTATGTTAGCATTCATCGCTTAGAAGAATACAAGATTGTCCCATGCATAGTAAAGAGGCTGGGTCTAAGCCTTGTGATTATCACTATATGATATAACTTGATCTTTGGTCTCAGCATCTTAAAAGGATTGATTGTCTCAAGGACTTGCAGTAGCTAGTTTCCAAAGAGATCTGTAATCATTAAAGAAATTAGAGCAGCAATTAGAATTCACCTAAGACATCAGACTCATAAGATTGGGCAAAAAAACACCAACTATTTAAGACATAATTCATTTCCATCTTATACAAATTGTTTCAAAGAATAGGGAAACTGGTATTGAGCACTAGTTCATTTTATGAATTTTGATTCCCAAACCAGGCATTTCTTTTAAGAGAAAGAAATGTACATAGATTAACCTCATTTATGAACAAAGACCAAAAAAGCCTAAATAAATATTAATAAATCTGTTAGCACCCTAAATTTATAAATAAATAATCACATAAACAATAAAATAATTTCTACTCTATACCATTTATTTTAGGAATTCAAGGATAATTTAACATTAGTCAACCTACTCATTTAATTTATTGCAATAACAGATTAAATAGAAAAAGTAAAATTATCTCAAAAACACACTAATCATTATTTCTATTCATCACAGTACTTAAAAGTCTTAAGGCTATAAAAAAAGGTTTAGGGGGGAAAAAGAGAGAGAGACACAAGCAAAGATGGTTGAAAATGTAAGAACAAGTTTTCCTTTTCATACAAAAAAATCAATAAAATCCAGGAGAATTCACAATTAGAAGATTTAACAAAGGTACTAGATATAAGACTAATATATACAAAAATTAATGAAAACAAGCAATCAAACATTTAATTTAAATACATACTATTTGTATTAGCAATTATGTGGAACCTAAGAATATTTGTAAAAGAGCATATTTCAGGAAAATTAATTTTTATTGAAGGGAATATATAAAAATATGTTTTTTAGCTGGGCTCAGTGGCACATGCCTATAATCCCAGCAGCTCAGGAGGCTGAGGTAGGAGGATCGCAAGTTCAAAGTCATCCTTGGCCACTTAGCGAGGCGCTAAGCAACTCAGTGAGACCCTGTCTCTAAATAAAATACAAAATAGGGCTGGGGATGTGGCTTAGTGATTGAGTGGCCCTAAGTTCAACCCCTATTATCCCTTACCGCAGGCCAAAAAAAAATATATGATTTTTAAAAATGGAAAAATGTTCATATATGAGAAAATACTCAAACTCTTTAAGTTAAGATTTTCCCAGGTTATTCTATAATACAATACAATTTCAGTCAAAATCCCAAATACCAATCCCTGTAGCAGAAGATACTATTAAAATTCATGTAGAACCACTTAGGGCTAAGTATTGCCAAATAATTTTGAATAATAAAAATAATATGGACAATATTAATAATATGGGGATATTTACCCTGCCAGACACTGTAGGTCTCTAAAAACTAAAACAGTGTGATATTGGTGAAAGGGATAAATAAAATAGACTAATGGAACTGAATAGAGTTTAGAAACACCCATAGGGATGGCATTATAAATCAGAGAGAAAAGATGAGACATTTAATTACTGGTGTTTGAACAATTGCCTAACCATTTCAGAAAAGATAAAATTAGATCCTTACCTTTCACTGTGCACAAAAATAGCTTCCAGATGGGTTAAAGCCTTCAATATGAAAAAGAAAATCATAACATTTTTTAGAAGGAACTTTAAAAGAGTATCTTTTTCACTTTAATAAGGATGGGGCTTCTTAAGTAATTCACCAAAAGCACAAAAACAAAGGAAAATACTGTTGAAGTCTATTAACACAAGAAAAATATTTGAATGATTAAAAAAATAGGCAAGAAACATACAAAATAAAATAAAATAAAGGATACAAGCAGAAAAGTTACAGAAGAGCAAGAGCTAGGTGGCATATATAGGCAGCATAAAACATGTGCTCAGTCTCTCCAAGTAAGTAGGGGAATGCGAATTAAGTTAAAGCCACAGTGAAATACCATTCTATACACACTGTATAAGAATTTTAAAAAATAGATGCTAATAGTGATTGTGAGAATCTTCAAACTTTTCTGGTAGAAATTACTGTCATCCGGTCATTTTGCAGGGCCATTTTGCCATACCCCACAAGCTGCAGATGAGCGCACCCCAGGGTCCAGCAGCCCTGCTGGTAGGTGTCTGCTCAGATCAGTTCTTATGAATGTGCAGCAGGAAAGGGTACAGAAGAGTCTAATTCATTGCTATTTGCAAAAGCAAAGAGAGACAAGCTAAATGTCCATCAGTAGGAAAATGCACAGACAGGTGCCTCTTCCATGCAATGACTATTAGAGGGCCATTGGATGAATGAACCAGTTACTACCATCAACAGGGTCCTCTCAAAAGCATAGCACTCACTGAAAAAAAAA